CCACAGATGGTTCTCTACCTTAGTACTTTATAAAGATACTTGTCACTTGTTCAACATACTAAACAGGACTTACCTATTGTCTTGTACCACAGATGGTTCTCTACCCTCTTCAGACACATGTAGAGCTTTTTTGATTTTGCTTATCTCATCATCAGTTGCATCAACCTCTGACTGAGACATTTCTGTATCTGTGAATTTTTCTTCATCTTGCTCAGATTCTGATTCAGACTGTTCTTCATACTCCGAGTCTGAATCTGAGGCAACTGAGCTACTTTCTTCCTCGGCAGAGCTTTCTTCTGACTCTGATTCTGCCACGATAAAACACTTTCATCATAATCACATATATTATGTGTATGAAGTAACACTTTGCTAGTTGAACATCACGAAGACTACTTTTTAACATCACGTTATCAACTCAAGAACATCTGCTTAAAAAACACTAAAACAAATATAACAGAATTAAGGCAATGGAAGACGATAATCTTATTGAAGCCTTTATTTTAAAATAAATAACTCTTTATGCACCAATAGGCTAAATGGCCTTGTCAGAGACCCCTATGGTTCAGGTTTTTAAATCCGTTCCTATGATTTAGGCACAACCATTCGTAATTTTGAACTGTGGACAAGAAGGCGGCAAAGAGCTGTTTTTAACCAAATAGTGGGAATGACAGTAAGTTTCATAATGCACCCATTTGTGAAAGTATGAAGCATTTGGTATTACCATTTTTCAAACCCCAGGTCTTTAGATCCCCAGTCCAATATGCTAACCACTAACCCGTGTTCTGGCCCTTTTCAAACTCTAGTCTAACAATTCAGAAATTCTGGCAAACTTGTCAGATTTAAATTGTCTCAACTTACCAGCAACCATCTTTAATCACACAAGATCAACTGAGAAATTAAGCACAGATTCGAGAACTTTATACGATCAATTTTAATGACAAAAGTACGACTATCATAGTGGTTTTATATCTCTTCTAACTCACCAGAGTCAGCCTTTTCACTCTCACTCTCTTGAGTACTTTGTTCTTCCTCTGTTGAAGGGAAGAAACACGGCTCTTTCCTTCTGCTAGTAACATCACTCTCCGAATCAGAAAGCTTTTGCTCCTGTTCTCCATCTAGCAATGTTTAAGAAAAGTCATCACGTCTCATTACTGTGTTGCTAAAACAATTAGGGTGAATCTTGTGAAGCCACTTTGATTACCCTAAATGATTACTTGATAGTTTTTAATACGACTACTTATAATTTATCCTCTCGTAACTTACTTGTACCTGAATGTTTCGACTGACACAATTTTCATCACAAAAGCTCCCTAGTTTTAAAAATTGAAAAATATCATCAATAACATGATAGTTCTAAATCCCAACTTAAAATTACATAAAAAAACTTATCAGCCTTATTATTGTCATGTTTTTTAGTATATATATATATATATATATATATACACACATACATACATA